GCTATTTGCCACTGTGCGCAGTTGCGCATCGTATCTGAGGCTCATTCGTGCTATTTGCCACTGTGTGCAGTTGCGCATCGTATCTGAGGCCCATTTGTGCTATTTGCCACTGTGCGCAGTTGCGCACCGTATCTGAAGACCATTTGTGCTATTTGCCACTGTGCGCAGCTGCGCACCGTATCTGAAGACCATTTGTGCTATTTGCCACTGTGCGCAGTTGTGCACCGTATCTGAAGACCATTTGTGCTATTCGCCGCTGTGCGCAGTTGCGCACCGTATCTGAGGACCATTTGTTCTATCCGTCATTGTGCGCAATCGCGCACCGTGACTGAGGACCATTTGTGCTATCTGCCCTGCGCGCTGTTGTGGGCCGCACTTGAGGGCCATATCTGAGTTTACCAGTGCGCAGTATGTGCATCGCACTTGAAGGCTATTTCGCTGTTTGCCATTGTGCACAGTGCGCACCACACTTGAGGGCCATATCAGAGTTGGCAACTGTGCATACCATACTTGAGGGCCATATCCAAGTTGGCAACTGTGTATACCGCACTTGAGGGCCGTATCCGAGTTGGCAACTGTGCATCCCGCACTTGAGGGCCATATCTGAGTTGGCAACTGTGTATACCGCACTTGAGGGCCATATCCGAGTTTGCAACTGTGCGCAGCCTGCACGCTGCACTTAAGGGCTAAATCTGATTTTTTTTGCAACTGTGCGCAGTATGCGCACTATACTTGAGTGCTATTCGCAAGTGCTATCTCTGAACAGTGCCATTTCGCAAGAACCATTTCTGAACAGTGCTCATCTTGAGTGAGGGCCATTCCTGAATTTTACGCAGTAAGCACACCATGTCTGAGAGCTATTCTCAATTGAGCAGGACCAGTCTCAGTTGCGTCGAAGGTGCTTCAACTGAGCACTGAATCGGAGAGCCATGTATGACCGATTTCGGACCCAAGGCACAAGTGTCCATTTCAGCTGAATGGATAGTAAATAGCTGATTTTGAGCTTGCACGTACTGTTTTGATGACGATAGTGGTATGGCCCTAGGTAAAGGCCAAGTTTAGCATATGGTAATCCTGTTGTAAGCAGTAAGCAAAGATCGATTGTTGTTTGACCGACAGATTGAGCATGCGACAAGAATATTAATATTATTAATTTTTTTTAAGTGTGCGCCCGCGCGCGCCCAGATCAGATAATTATTTTCAGTGCGCGTCCGCGCGCGCCAAGATTAGATAATTATTTTTAGTGCGCGCCTGCGTGCGCCCATATCA